GGCAATTTCTCTCCTTTGCCTTTTTTTTTCTCTATTCCCCCCCCCCCCCAGATTCAGTTAGGCATGAAGGAGTTTTTTGGTGAGAAAATAAGCAGGGGAAAAACCTTCACCTTCTATGTATTCATATGTCATTAATAGCACAAGAGCCTTATTAGTAAACTAAGACTGGTACCATCTAAACTCTGATCCAGTGACCAGGAGTTTTCAACCAGTCTTCTACATCCCTCTCATTTTTATGGTAGTTCTCAGCAGCAATTTGTGGTCCCACCTCCCTTTTGACTCAAATCTTGTTCCCAAGTGATGCAAACATGATGAACCAAACAGGAGCATCCCAAACAGGAATGATCTGACAGTATATTGGCTACTTTCACATTCAAATACTCTGCTGCTGGCAGTAATGAAATCTGGAACAAAGTGGCTGATTCTAGCCTACGCATATAGCAGATTAAGAAGGGTAGAGGCTTCAATTGTATGTCTTGTGCTTGCTTTTGAGAGGGAGTTAATCCCACTATGCCAAGTCTTATTTCCAAGTAAATACACTGAGAATTGCACAAATCACAATACACAGCAACAATTTGCTCACACCCACTCCTGAACTGAAGCAATCCAACTTATGATCATATTTAGGCAATGGGAAGCTGTAACCTCAGTTGATTAAAAACAAGGGTAAAAAAATCCTCTCCATCCTGCTCTTGTGACATAACATCTCTGCCTGCCAGCCTGAACATTTGAAGAGTTGATCTGATGCCTTGCATTGCTCATGAATTACCACATTCAGATAATCTATCCTGGGAGATTAGGGGTAAAGTCTATCAAGAATCATGTGGGATGTGGGAAGAACATGTGGAAATATGATTATTTGCAGTGGAGAATCACAAGTCTGTGCTGCTGCCTCTTTGGTGCAGGCTGTGGAAAGAGTCTCATGGTTGAATCAGGTCCATACATAATACATGAAATCGGCCTAGTATTATTTCTACAGGTGGCAACATCTCCAGTTGCATGACTCTGAATTAACTATTCATTTTGTTACTGAAACCAGTACAGAACAATTGCAGCAAACAGGCCTCAGGTCCAATTAGCAAGATCACATTAATGAGGCAGCTGGTTCTACAAATGACTAAACAGGACAAACGTTGGGTGCCCTGAAGGCCTCCGGAGCAAGTTACAGGTGGCTCTAGCAAGAGGCAGGGAAGAGTGATGCTGCTGCTCCCTGCTTCCACCAAAAGACCATCTGTTGAAGGGGCAGCCCACACAACAGGTGGCAATTGTTGAAGAGTTTCAGTGCAACATAGGAAATTCCACTGGGGCCTC